AGAGAGAGAGAGAGAAGGGGGAAAGAAGCCGTGGACGGATAAAGCAGTTTGTTCCCAGAGCCACAAAATTCAAAAGATGTTTCTCCTGTGGACATGGAAAGGCATTTTAAGAGCCAGATACACACACACACACACACACACACACACACACCCCTCTCCAATCCACAGAAGAGACAGAAACGAATCCTCTGGACCTCTTATGGATGACTGATTACCAAGAACAGAGGCATCGTTACAATGGTTCAAAACCGGTCTTTTTAATTATAACGCTGGGGGTAGGGGGGCAGTTGGTCAGCAAGGTTTTTTTTGGGGGGTGGGTGGGGGGTTTCTAGCTAGCAAAAGTCTTCCCTGGGTCTTCTTTTCCTTTATATCTCCTCTTGCCGTGGGTGAACGGTATATATCGGTATTTTATCATATGCTGGAACGACAAAAAAAACACAGGTCTTAAAAAGGCGCCGCCTCCATTTTTTTTTCTCTCCTCCCCGTCTTCCAAACCGCGAGAAAAATGCCTGCAAAGGCCGATCTGTCAGACAAACAAGATTTAAGCCCTGTGTCTCCAACCTTGGCAAGTTGAAGACTTGGGGGACTTCCAAAACTCCCAGAATTCCTTGAGCTAACATGACTGGAGGAGGAATTCTGGGAGCTGAAATGCACAAGCCTTAAAAGCTGTCAGGTTTGAAGGCCCCTGCGTTTAAGCTATGGTTTTCCGAGCACCGAACGAGGCTCTTAAATTAAGCCACAATCGTTTGGCTTTACGTGCTCTAGGGACGCGGGCAAAGAAAGGCTCACCTGACAGATCGGGGTTACCACGATCTGCGGTTTGAAGAGCAGCTCCAAACAAGCCACCTTTTCGTGATCAAGGGTATTATCTCCCGTCACCCTTTCGGCAACGGGGGTGTAGCCGGCTCAATCTGCTCGGCGTTAAAACATAAATTTTATTACTTTGATATAATCCATCTCACCCTTAAAACGGGGCAGGAGCAATTGTGCTTCTTCTAGCGTGCCAAACCTGGTTAGTATTGTATTTATTTTGCTTCCCAGGGCTATGCTAGTACGGTTCCCCCCCCCCTCCCAAATGGGTGAGCATCTCAACTGTCTCGCCCCCTCATTTCACGGTCAAAAAGCAGGCTTGTCTAATCTTGTCCACTTTTTAAGACTGGTAGACTTCAATTCCCGGAATTCCCCAGCCAGGACATGATTATTGGTGATTGAATTCTGGGAGTTGAAGTCCACCAGTCTTGGAAGTGCCCAAGGTTGGACATTCTGGTCTCTGGAGTCACCTTGCACTCTGCACTCACCTTGATTTGCCTCTTCATCGTGATACAGAACAGCATAATGAAATACATCACCAGAATTGGCCAAAAAACTGGAACATTGAAAGCCTCAAAGAATGTACAGGTCATGGCAACCAGGATGCCTTTAGTGGCAGAATGCCTTTGGGGAAGAAAACGATGTCGGGGTTAAGAGATTTAACAGATTAACAGAGTTTGGAAGGGACCTTGTAGGTCATCTAGTCCAACCCCCGTACCCAAGCAGGAGACCCTACACCATTTCTGACAAATGGCTGTCCAATCTCTTCTTGAAGGTGATGAAGCTCCCACAACTTCTGAAGGAAACTTCTGTTCCATTGATTAATTGTTCTCACTGTCAGAAAGTTTCTCCTTTATTTCCAGGTTGTATCTCTTCCTGATCAGTTTCCATCCATTATTCCTTGTCTGGCCTTCAGGTGCTTTAGAAAACAGCTTGACC